ATATATTTTATTGTTTATGCTATCACAGTTGTCCCAATTTTTCCCCTTTGCCATCCTCCACCCAGTGCCCCCTCCCCTCCTGTTGTCTGTATCCACGGGTCAGGCATATATGTTCTTTGGCTACTCTATTCCCTACGCTGTACCTTACATCCTCATGACTATTCTGTAACTACCAGTTTGTACTTCTTAATCCCTTCACTTCTTTTGCTCATCCCCCTAACACTGTTTCCACCTGGCAATCATCAAAATGCTCTCAGTATTTTTTATTCTGTTTCTCTTGTGCTTGTTTATTAAGTTTTTTACATCCAGTTGTTGACAGATATGCATTTATTGCCATTTTATTATTCATATTTTTGATGTTCTTAAAGCACACCCTTTAACATTTCATGTAATACTGGTTTGCTGGTGATGGACAAGCGTTTTCTTGTCTGGGAAGCTCTTTGTCTTTCTATTCTAAATAATAGCTTTGCTGGGCAGGGTGATCTTGGTTGAAGGTCCTTGCTTTTTATTACTTTGAATATTTCTTGCCAGTCCTTCTTGCCTGCAAAGTTTCTTTTGAGAAATCAGCTGACATTCTAATGGGAACTCCCTTGTACAACCTATTTTCTCTTACTGCTTTTAAGATTCTCTTTATACTTAACCTTCGGCATTTTAATTATGATCTGTCTTGGTGTGGGCCTGCTTAGGTTCATATTGTTCGGAAGTCTGCGTTTCCTGGATTTGTATGTCTATTTCCTTCACCAAGTTAAGAAAGTTTTCTGTCATTATTTTTAAATATATTTTATTCATTGTACTATTACAGTTGTCCCACTTCCCCCCTCTGCCTAGTAGCCCCCTTACTTCCAGCATTCCACCCCTACCAAAGTTCATGTCCGTGGGTTATGTATGAGTTCTTTGGCTTCTCTACTTCCTATACTATTCTTAACATCCCATGTCTATTTTATTCCTACTAATTATGCTTCTTAATCTCCTCAACTTTTCTCCCATTCTTCCCCTTCTCTTTCCCAGCTAATAACCCTCCAAATGATCTCCAGACCTATGATTCCGTTCCCGTTCTGGTTATTTGCTTAGTTCTTCTTTTTTTTTAAGATTCAGTTGTTGATAGTTGTGAATTTGTTGCCTTTTAATGTTCATGGTTTTGATCTTCTTTTTCTTAAATAAGTCCATTTAACATTTCTTGTAATAATGGCTTGGTGATGATAAACTCTTCTAGCTTTGCCTTGTCTGGAAAGCACTTTATCTACCCTTCCATTCTAAGTGATAGTTTTGCTTGATAGAATAATCTAGGTTGTAGGTCTTTGCTTTTCATGACTTAAAATACTTCTTTCCAGTCCCTTCTTGCCTGTAAAGTTTCTTTTGAGAAATCAGCTTATAATCTTATGGGAACTCCTATGTAGGTTATTCACTGCTTTTGTCTTGCTGCTTCTAAGATTCTCTCTTGATCTTTAACCTTTGGCATTTTAATTATGATTATCTTGGTGTGGGCCTCTTTGGGTCCAACTTGTTTGGGACTCTGTACTTTCTTGACTTGTATGTTTATTTCTTTAATCAGATTAGCAAAGGTTTCTTTCATTATTTTTTCAAATAAGTTTTCAAGTTCTTACTCTTCCCCTTCTCCTTTTGACATCTCTATGATTCAGATGTTGGTATGTTTAAAGTTATCCTAGAGGTTCCTAAGCCTATTCTTATCGGTTTGTTTTTTTTTTTTCCTTGTTTCTGTTCTGGTTGAATCTTTATTTCTTCCTTATGTTCCAAATTGTTGATTTGAACCCTGGCTTCCTTCTTTTCACTATTAGTTCCGTGTGGATTTTTCTTTATTTTACTTAGTGTAAGCTTCATTTCTTCCTTTATTTTGTTATTGTAGTCAGTGAGTTCTCTGAGGATTGCGATCACCAGTGTTTTGATTGGCATCTGATTGACTATTGCTGTTTCACTTAGTTATTTTTCTGGGGACTTGTTCTGTTCTTTCATTTCAGCCATATTTCTTTGTCTCCTCAATTTGACAGCCTCCCTATATTTGTTTCAGTGTTTTAGGTAGAGCTGCTTTTTACTCTATTTAGTAGTATGGCCTATGTAGAAAAGGCACTTGTAAATTGTGCAATAGGTAATTGCCTTAGATATTGCCAGGGCGGGGCAACCAGCTTCACTGTTTTGTGGCTGTGTGTGGTAGTAGGGATTGGAGAGGGGACAGTGCCCCTTCCTGGCTTCTGGAGGTTTGCCTGGCACTTGCCCTGTTTCCAGTCACTTTATCCATTTTCTATATGCAACTGGTACCCTTCCAGCTGCTTCTCTGGTGGTAAAACCCAGAGTGGGTGGGTTTGTATACATTCTAAGTCTGTGTGGGCCCTTTAAGTGGCAAAAATCTAGAAGTTTTTTCTGCTGTCCCAACTCCCACTGGTTTTTACAGCCAGAGCCTGGCGCTTGGAATCCTACACTGTGTCGTCTGGCCTGGTGCTGAGAACAATACTTCCCAAGGTGTCCCTCTCAATTTTTATCCACCATATGCAGTGCCTCTCTGCACCGTAACACCTCTGTGTCTGTCTCCGTGACTCTGCCACTCCTACCTGTATGGATGAATGCGGCTTCTTTAAATTCTTGGTTGTAGGACTTCCATACAGCTTAATTTTCTGATGGTTCTGGGTTTTATTTGTTTTGAGATCTGGTTGTAATTCTTTCTGTGGTTGTGTGAGGAGACAAAGTATATCTACCTCTGCTTCTCTCTTGACTGGAACTCCTGTCATTGTATTTAAAATAGGCTTCCAGTTTCTTGCTCTCTTTTCTCCTTCTGGTACTGCCATGATGCAAATGTTGGTCTGTTTGAAGTCGTTCTAGAGGCTCCTTACACTATCTCATTTCTTTGGATTCTTTTTTCTTCTTGCTGTTCTGTTTGGTTATTTTTTGCTCCCTTGTGTTCCAGGTCACTGCAAGTAACTGATTAGATTCTCAGCTTTATCCACTGTGCTGCTGATTCCCTGTAAATTGTTCTTTATTTAAATTAGTATTTTCTTCATTTCTGATGGTATCTTTTTTATGCTGTTGAGATTCTCACTGAGTTCATTGAGCATCCTTATAACCAGTGTTTTGAACTCTGCATTTAGTAGATTGTCTGTCTCCATTTTGTTTAGTTCTTTTTCTGGAGTTTTGTTCTGTTCTTTTATTTGGGGTATGTTTCTTTGTCTCCTCATTTTGGCAATCTTCCTGTGTTCGTGTCAATGTATTAAGTAGAGCTGCTCTGTCTCCTGGCTTGGTAGAGTGGCCTAATGTAGTAGGTGTCCTTGTAGGGTCCAGTGGCACAGCCTCCCCTATTGTTCAAGGTGCACCTTCTGTGTGAGCTGTGTACACCTTCCTGTTGTAGTTGAGTCTTGACTCCTTGATTGCTGTTGGCACATCCAAGGTCAGCCACCTCCTGTGTTCTGTCCGGGGTCACACAGCATAAGCTACAAAATGATCTGCGGATGGCTGCTACTTGGTTCTAGTCTTGGAGGTGCCCATTCAAGACTAAGCTGTGAACCAAGGCTGGCTGCTGCTGGTGCTGGGCCTGAGGCAACTTAGTGAGAGGTACAGGGTTCACTGAAGCCAGATGCTGTTTGTTTGAGAGAACTTAGAAAAATCTGAAGCATAAGCCAAGACAAGTCATTCACATGGAAAAGTCACTGGAAACAGCTTGGGTGGGCCCACAAGTTGGGTGGGGCAGGGCCTCACAGAATCACCAGGTTGGGGCAAAAAGTGTGACCCATGTAGGAGTCTCAGATATGGCACCTATCAGCCAGTGCTTTGAGGGGAGGGCAAGTCAGTTCCTCTCTGTATGTCTCTGGTATCTTTCAATCTGCTGTCCCTGCTCTGGAGCTCAGAGGGAGTGAATCTGGGTAAGTTTGTATGGGAGGACCTTTAAAAGGAACTGCCAGGGAGTCTAGAAGTTTCTGTCTTCTACCGCCTCTATCCCTACTGGTTTTTATAGGCAGAAGTTATGGATATTCATCTTCCTGGCACTGGAGTCCCGTGTTGGGTGGCCTAGTGTGGGGCTGGGATTCCTACCTCCTGAGACATCCCTCCCGGTTTTTATCCCCCCATGGAGGTGTGGGACCAGCCTGTTTTGCATCTTCACCCTCCTACCAGTCTCAGTGTGATTTCTTCTTCAATTCCACATTTGTAGGACTTCCATTTAGCTTGATTTCTGGTGGTTATGAGTGATGGTTGTCCAGTAGTTTAGTTGTAATTTTGATGTGGTTATGTGAGGAGCCAAGTGCCATTTTTACCTACAGTTCCATCTTGGCCAGAAGTCCTAGGTCCTTTTTTGATTTGGCCACTTGGTAGCCATGTGGTTTGGCCTAAGTTTGTTAAGTGTTAATGTTTTTTTTTCTGTAAAACTGTAACAATAAAGATAACTGCTTATGCTTATAGGTTTGTTGTGAGAAATTACTGCAATGAAAATTGGCCCACCTTAATTAAAAGCCCATTATATTATGATATTATGGTAGGCATTAATGATACAGTTTGGAGCTCCCTAACCTGGTAGAGTGAAAGTGAAGTAGCAGGATATCTAAAAGCATTTTGTAAATTGTAAAATACTGTGTGGTTGTATAGTTTCTCCTCCTACAGTGAATTACTTTCTGATGCCTTAGCAACTCATTATGTGCTCTTCCACTGAAGACCATCTGCTCAGGCTGTTCCCTATGTCGATCAAACTTCGTTCCATCAGATTTTAATCTCCAGGTAGTTTTCTCTCATCTCCCTAGACAGACTTGATTTCTCATCTTCTCTATGACCACAGTTTGTAGATTTTTCCATAGCAAAAGCAGGAATTTATGTTAAATTTTAGTTATATGTGAACACGATTTGAATGCCTGAAGTCAAAATCTTTATCATTTTATCTACCAGTTTTCAAAGCACAGTGCCTCGTGTTAGTGAAGCGACTCCGTAAAAATGGTTCTCTAATTCAGTGAACTATATGGACTGTGGATCCTTAGTAATAATGCCTTTGGTTGGGTTATGATTTTCAGGTTAAAACTTCAACAGCAAATTGTGAATACTGAAAATGCGGAAAAAGAGAAAAATGAAAATTCTGAACTGAAACAGGTATGATGTTTAGCTGTATTTTATAGGTGCTTTTTAAAACCTGTATTCTGAATCTTTATTGGATTTTATATATCGATGTTCTAAAAATATAATCACTACAGTTGATAATGTATTGATGAACTTGATATGTAAAGATAAGTGTTTAAACCTCTTTAAATTCTAGTGAACTTCTTTTGTTAAGTGCTGTTTTTCTTAAGATGTTTATACGTTGTGGCCCATGATGAATTTTTTAAATTATAGTTTAAAGGATGGTATTTTGATATTCTGAATTTTGAAAATTAAGCCCTGGCTAGTGTGGCACCAACCTGTGAACTGAAAAGTCACCGGTTCGATTCCCGGTCAGGGCACATGCCTCCATCGCACCAGGTCCCTGGTGGGGGCGTGCGAGAGGCGACCAACTGCCGTTTCCCTCTCACATCAGTGTTTCTCTGTCTTTCTCTCTCCTTTCCCCTCTCACTGAAAATAACTAAATACAATCTTTTAAAAAAGGAAGAAGATTGATTTGAAAAATCATCTGGTTTTTAAGTTCCTGGTGTGCTGGACTTGTAACTTCACGTTTCTCATTCCGTGAGCTATTCCTCATATATCTTGGAAATCTGAGAGTTGTACTTTTGGAAGGGAGTTTATATTTTAACTAAAGTTACTTGGATTCAGGAAAGATTTATATATGCAGAACACTGAAAAGTGTTCTTTACTGAATTCTATGTTCTCTTTTGTTTAAATGGTTTTTTTTTCCTTTGAAATTATGAAGTAGTGAGAATTTCATTTTTAGGATTTGTATGTACACAGTAGCTGGCATTGCTTTGCATATGAAGTTACAGTTTTTAAGTCTCAACTAGAAGGGCATAATGTTTGTTTGATGTTTCTCTGAGAGAAGTTATCTAGTATCATTGACATTGGGCTTTCTGTCATCTAAGGAGAAATAGTAAGTTCCTTGGAGGTTGCTTGTTCAGTTAGCTGTGATGCAGATTTAGTATTTACGACTCCAGTTAAAAAGAAACACTTGAATAGTTCTTCATGGAGAAATTTATTCTAAAATAGAAATCTGAGACATACCATTTTATATTACTCTGCTGTCACTTGCTCTTTGGATATATAGTCCTGTCTTATTTGGCTTTGCTACCATCAGGAATCTGGTTCCTTTTGTCTGTTGAGTCTCGTAACTGGTTCTTTAATCCTGAGGCTCTTGATTCTCTGCTTCCAAAACTTCTCTCAGAGGATGGCTATGAGTTAAATGATAGTGAAAGAAAAACGAGGTCTTTGTGATACTGTGTCCCAAGTGAAGATTATTTGGGCATAATTTAAAAGTGACGTGAATCTTCCCAGCCTGTTAATTTGTAACCAGATAATTACAGGTATACATGGGAGATGTTGAGGGTTCTGTTCCAGACCACTGCAATAAAGCAGATAGTGCAGTAAACTGAGTCAGAATATCTTTGCTGGGGTGGGGGGGGTCTTGCCTTGAATCTGTAAAAAAAAAAAAAAAAAGTACAAGATCTGTGAAGCACGATAGAGCAGAACACAATAACACAAGTAATGCATGTAGCTACTCTTCATGGGCAAAATACTCCCAGGTAAAGGTAAATCTCTGTTTTCCTCTAATAAACCTTCTCCCCACTCCCAGGACCTCTGCCAGCCTGCTTATTTTTAGAAGAGAAGAGGACTCGGTGACAGATTTAGGAATATGTTGTTCATTGTTTCTGGTTTTATTAAGAAATGATCCTATGCTGATGGAACCGAATGCTGCTGTTTATTGTTTGATTTCAGAGTGTCTTCACGGGCACATCAGTTGGGTGGGTCATTTGTGAGGGAAGGTGCATAGTATCCTCTGCCTCTCTGACATTCTACTAAATTTTCTTAGTGACCTTAACGTTTCTCTTCTTTCTTTTCTCTTAAGCAAATCAGTAGTTTGCAGATCCAAGTGACCTCACTTACACAATCAGAGAATGAATTGCTGAATTCAAACCAAATACTGAAGGAAATGGTGGAGAGGTTAAAACAGGAATGCCGAAATTTAAGAAGCCAAGCTGAAAAAGCACAACTAGAAGTTGAAAAGTAGGGTTTGCTTTTTTTTTTAATATACAACTATTTTTTTCTGCTATGTTTTATGTAATTACATCAATAATGATTCCATGTTGAACGTGTTTTAGGAGCTACTTACAAATACCCTTTGACAATATATAGTGAGTCTGAGGTAATGCACTTTCTCTTTCTAGAAAATCAGCTTTATAGACTTCTGAATTTAAAAAAAAAAAGACATTTAGAGAAGACAGCCCTTTAAAATTCTCCCTGACCACAGTATTATGAAAACCCTTAAAGAACAACTTCTTTATTCTTTAAGTAAACCAATACATTTCTTACTTCAAATATCTGTATTATTTTTCTGAATGCCTTATAAGTAGTAAGTTTGATTATACTTGTGATAATATTTGTTTAATCCTAAGAGTTAACATCCATGTTTTACATCCATATACTTCCGACAGGACATTGGAAGAGAAACAGATACAGTGGTTGGAAGAAAAGCATAAGCTTCATGAACGCATTACAGACAGAGAGGAGAGGTATAATCAGGCCAAGGAGAAACTGCAGCGAGCTGCAACTGCGCAGAAAAAGGCACGTGGTTCTCGTTGGAGTGATTTATACAGAGTAGAACGTAACTAACTACTTTAGGAGAATAAAGTGTATAATTAAAACTGAGATTTTACTGATGTTTGATATTTAAACATGACATTTTAGCATTATGGGATGCTAAAAGTAATGTAACATTGAGATTAGAAAATAGCATTTACAAATGGGAATTCCAGTGTTTTACAATCAAATATAAATGCTTGTGTTGTTGTTTTTCCCTGTGTGTATCACTTTTCTATCTTTCAGGCCAGGGAAGTACTGAGCTTTGTATGGGTATTGTTGGGATATCAGTGAATTTTCTTATTGCTTGGAATGCTTAGAAATTCTACTTACGCTTTCTTTTACCGTTTGATGCCTCAAAGCCACTAAAGCCAGATGTGAGCTGGAGATCACTAGAAATTATAAGAGCAGATTTGATCTTCTACAGAGCAATGTTTGTGTTGAGGTTTTAGAGATAAGTATCTTAAATATCAGATTCTAATTATTGAGGTTAGGGTTGACTTCCGTTGGAGCACAAGTGACATCCAGTGGTGAGAGAGATTATCAGTTAATCGCAGGTATACCAGAAAGAGAGGAGATGATATTTTAAGAAGCCTGCAAAATAACCTTTTATTAATATTGTGATCTAGGATGAATTATTCTCTTACTGAAATATCTGCCAAATGATGGGTATGAGCATAGTAAATATTCATTTCACTTTTTAAAGTGTGATGTGTGGATTATGGTTTGAAGCCATAGAAATTGTCTAGGCTCAACTAAGTGAATAATCGTGACCGAGACCTGTCCCACCATGTAGGACACTGCCCTAAGGGCTTACAACTTGAAGTATTTATAATTTTAGGGCTGGGAGGAATTTAGCATTCAGGTGATTTTTCAGATTAGGAAACTAAAATGGTAGTTAGCCAAGATCACTTGACTAATACGAATCATTGCTGTGACTAAAACCTATGCGTCTTTTCTAGTCTCAATCCTTTGCTTTTTTGGGGGCACTATTACTCTTTTATTTTCCCACTTTCTTTGATTCCAAATACTTTACTGTTTTTCTCTTTATGGTTGGCATAGTACACATGAGTGTTATTTCTTGTGGCAAAATAATCACTATGAAAATTATTTCTTTACCTCAAACTCTCTTCCCCACTCACATTAAAGATATGAAAATGTTGGCTATAATTAAATAAATATAATTCATAAGAGTGCAACAGACATTTTAGGTTCTTTAAAGGACAAAAATTATAACTATTGTATGCAGGAAGACTAAAACAAGTCACCAAATTTTAACTCTAGGATAGAAAGCATAATTATTTAGAGCTACTTTCCTATGAGAGGTTCTTGTAACTGGGGGGATAGCAGCTTTATTTTTTCCCACGGGCTAGATAAGGTGCCTCATTGTTTTTTTTATGACTCCAACCTTGTAAGTACAAAGCTTAGATCACTTCTGCTAAGTGTTTTTTGACAGAGTCTTGGGTAATGATATTTGCTGTGATGATTTTTTTGGAGAAGTTTGACCAGGTATCTGGAGTCAGGACGTGCTTCCGTGAACCTCCCTCTCTCTGGTTTCTCCACACCTGGTCCAAGTGTGGAGGTGAGGGTAGGTCTAGTGTGAGCGCAGTGAGTTGTGCTTTTCCTTTTAAGTCACTTAAAGGGACAGCTTGTAATTTTACTCAAAGGTATAGCTCTGAAATAATTCCTGGTTAGATACTGGTATCTAACCTGGTACTGAATTTTTTTTAATGAATCATAGTCTTGAAGTTGTAAAATACCTGTTGACTATGTTGTGTGGCCTGGTATTTATGCTGAGGGGAAAATAAAAGCCATGATTAATTTTTGCCTTCATTAACCATATAATCTAATTGGAGAAATAAGATAATGTGCAATACCTAAAAAATATTATTAATCACTCCCAGGTGCACACAAATGTTTCAGCACTAATGTGCCAGAGAGGAGAAAGCTGGAAGACAGGGAGGCCAGTTAGGAAGCTATTATAGTATATTTAAAATAAGGTAAGAAGTCTGGAATTTGGTCTTGGGGTATAGGAATGAACATGAAGGGTAACTTCCAGAAGTATTCTGAAGAAAAAAATTATAACCAATTGTGCTAAATAAGAAGGAAGAGAAAAAATGGAAGTATTTTATCCACAAGAGGGTACAATTAGTGTTATATAATGGAATTAAGAACATGTGTCATTTGAGTAGAAAAAGAAGATACATTTGACTAAAAACGTGTCAGATATGAAATGATGGCTGTGTATCCATGTAGATATGTCCTGGACTCCTAAGTGAAGATATTGTATAGATAACAAGAAATTGTGGGATGTAAGGCTGGGAGATGAGTCATTCAGATTAGAGATGTATAGACACTTGAGAGTTTGGAGATGATGGCAGATTTATAAGAGGACTAAGAACTAAGCCGACTTAAAAGAGGAGTTTGATTTACAGGAGAATGGTCACAGAGGTAGAAGCTGTACTGTGGTGTGGTAGAAGCCACAGGAAAAGGAAGGTCTCAGAGATATGTGGTCTTTAAGCATGATTATGTAAGAGTCCTGGAGCCCTGACCAGTGTGGCTCAGCTGGTTGGGCATCATCTTGCAAAAGATCACCAGTGCAGTTTCTGGTCAAGAGCACATACCTGGGTTGTGAGTTTGGTCCCTGGTCGGGGCACATGTGAGAGGCAACTGATATCATTTCTCTCACACATAAATGTTTCTCTCCTCCTCTTTCTCCCTCCTTTTCCCTCTCTCTAAAAGTAAATAAAATCTTTTTTAAAAAGTGTTCATTGAATTTGGTTAGGTGATAGAAGAGGAATCCCAGCTCTGATTCTTGTATCAATATTCTGTTGCTTTTTCTATTACTCCTTTGTGTTGGAATGTTTGGGACACTAAGGCATTCATTTGACTATCCTGTGATTGTATTTGACAGCTGAAGTCAAAATGAAAGTCACCCCTTACAGGCACTTGGCCCTTTGTACTTGCATGTCTTCCAGTAGAACATCATCCTTTCAATCACTGAGGCTTCATTCAGCCTTTCCCCCAAATCTAGTCAATAGCTGTATTAGCTTCCTAGGGCTGCCATAACAAATTACTAAAACCTGTGTGGTCTTTTTTTAATAAGTTGCTTAAAACAATGGAAATTTATTCTATCTTTGTTCTGGAGGTTGGAAGTCCAAAATCTAAATGCAAGTAGGGCCGTGCTTCGTCCAGAGGAGCATCTGCTGCAGGCCTCCCTCCGTGCTCTGCTGGCTGCCAGCAGGCCTTGGTGTTTCTTGGCTCTTAGATACATCACTTCACTTTCTGCATCCACTTTTACAAGGTGTTCTCCCTGTGTGCCTGTGCCCAAATTTCTTTTTATAAGGACACCATCATATTGCGTTTAGGGCCCCTCCTAATCCAGTTTAACCTCGTCTTAACTTGATTATGTCTGTAAAGATCCTTTTTTCAAGTAAGGTCACTTTAGAGTATTTTCCAGCACCACCAACCGATTTTCTAATACTCCGGACACCACCTGGGTGTCCTACATCATTTAAATTCTGATACTACGTCAGATTCCACGAGTTAAAGGTTTGGCCTCACAAGACTTCCCTCAGGTCAGATGCCAGTTCCTAAGCCACCAGTACTTTTGACCAATTGGCTGTAAGTTAGGAATTCACATGACTCTCTCCTTAGGTTTGATAATTTGATAGACTATCTCACAGAATTTATGACAATATTTTACTTATATTTACCAGTTTATTTTAAGGGATACAACTAAGGAACACCAAGTAGAAGAGAAGCATAGGGTACGCTATGTAAGAGGGGAGGCGTGGGGCTTTAATGCCTTCACAGTGAATCAGTGTATTCACCAGCTTGGGAGCTTTCTGGGTCTCCTTGTGCGAGGGTTTTTAAGGAGATTAATCTCTATCCTCCCTTCCAGAAGTAGAGGTGGGGAGTAAGGGGTAGGGGGTGGAGCTGAAGGTTCTCGTCCTCTTACCCTTGGTCTGGTGACCAGCCCCATCTCAAGACTCTCCAGTGGCCCCGCCCTAAGTCACCTCAGTAGCCTAAACTCGGGTGTGATGGAAAAGGGCTGGTTATGAGGAACAAAAGCCACTCCTCTCATGCTGGAAATTATTCCAAGGGTTTTATTTATTTATTTTTATTATTTTTTTAAATTTATTTTTTTATTGATTATGCCATTACAGTTGTTCTATTCCCCCTTCATTCCCCTCCACCCTACCCCCCATCCCCACCATTCCCCCCCTTTAGTTCATGAACATGTGTCTCAAGTCCTTTAGATTCTATATTTCCCATACTATTCTTGCCCCCCCCATCTATTTTCTATCTACCGTCTATGCTACTTATTTTCTGTGCCTTCTCCCCCCTTCTCCTCCTCCCACTCCCCTGTTGCTAACCCTCCTTGAGATCTTCATTTCTATGTTTCCACTCCTGATCTAGCTGTCCTTTTAGTTTGCTTTTGTTTTAGGTGTGGTTGTTAATAACTGTGAGTTTGCTGTCCTTTCACTGTTCATGTTTTGTTAACTTCTTTTTCTTAGATAAGCCCCTTTAATATTTCATATAATAAGGGCTTGGTGATGATGAACTCCTTGAATTTGATCTTATCTGAGAAGCATTTTATCTGTCCTCGTACTTAATGGGTACGAACAGACCAAAAATGGCTCAAGAAGATCTCAAAGCCCCAGAGCCTATAAATCTAAGCGACGAAGAAATAGCAAAACTCTCAGACGCACAGTTTAAAATGCTGGTGATCAGGATATTCCAAGGGTTTTAGCATCTCTGTGCCAGAAACCCAGGACAAAGGTCAAATGCATGTATTATATCAGAGTTACAGTGTGAGGTTCTGGGTGGACAGGAATATTTGGGAGACACTATTCAATCTCACACAGTCACTGGAGCATGTGAATTCTTCCTGTATGATGTCTCTCACATTTCCTCCTAAACCATTTCTTTTTATTTCTATTGCTAACATCCTAGCTTAGACTCTCTTCACTACAAGGTTT